TCAAGCCACATCAACATGTCACTCTCTTCCACTGTTTGTGGTGCTAAGCGGGAGATCTGTTCCAATGCTAACCCCTTCCACGGGGCTTCTTGACTAAAAAGCAAACGTTTACTATTTTTCAAATAAGACTATTTCTTCTTTTACACAGTATTTGTTAATGCTTTAGTACTATCATATGTTGAAAAATATTCTAAATTGATTACACTCACTCACTTAAATTATACTTTCAGATGTACAATTTTTTTTATTGCTGACTGTTTATATTCATATGTTTTCAAGAATCATAATACAGACCTCCATTATTTTTTAGTAACGAACACGCATCCAACGAGTATTAAAATTATATAAAATAGTATGTTAGAGTATTTTGTTAAAGACACTCTTCTCTCTGTTTCTTCTCAAGTTTTCTCCTTGCTTAATCATGTTGTGAAAAACCTTTACTTTTCTGGTAATCCAATTGTAGGGATCCATAAACAATCCAATCCTATTTCACTTTTCAGTGGTATAATTCAATTCACAATGTTCTTAAATTTTTGAATATTCGAGCATTCTATCCTACGTCAGCTACTTTCGAGTTTTAGACCTCTCACTATCAAATTTTTATATCTACTAACCTTAATAACATGTTTGTCAAACTGAACGATGAGTGCAATATTTATGAAGGTTTTCAAATATAACTTGGTAATGTATGTTCCCAAATATAACTCAGGACAATGTAATGTACTATGTTCCCAAATATAATTAAGGACAATGTAATGTACTCCCAAATATAATTAAGGACAATGTAATGTACTATGTTCCCAAATATAATTCAGGGAAGTTTAATGTACTATGTTCCTAAATATAATTGAGGACAATATACTACGATAGGAAGATTTTCATGACAGCCTAGTCCGCGTCGCCCAATCACTCGGGCGTGACAACCATGATAGTCGAGGATGGGAAAACTAAATAAATACAACGCATTTTTACCGCACTCCCTTACAAGAGCCGAAATCCCGATGCTTTTGTTTTTTTTATTGTTGGTTATCAAGGGGGGAGGGGTATAAATTGGTTTTAAAGGGGCTAAATGAGTTAAGCGATGGCGTATTTGTATGATTCCGTTGTTTTTTTTCAATCTTCAGTTCAACGAGGAATTCAAATATGAGCTTCAACCAAAATAATGTAATGTACTATGTTCCCAAATATAATTCAGGACAATGTAATGTACTATGTTCTCAAATATAGTTCAAGGCAATGTAATGTATTATGTTCCCAAATATAATTAAGGATAATATACTACGATAGGAAGATTTTCATGACCGCCTAGTCTGCACCGCCCGATCACTCGGGCGCAACACCCATGATAACCGAGGATGGGAAAAATAAATAAATACAGCGCATTTTTACCGCACTCCCTGACAAGAGCCGAAATTCCGATGCTTTTGTTTTTTTTATTGTTGGTTATCAAGGGGGGAGGGGTATAAATTGGTTTTAAAAGGGCTAAATGAGTTAAGCGAGGGCGTACTTGTATGATTCGGTTGTTTATTTTCAATGTATGATTCGGTTGTTCCTTTTCAATGTATGAATCGGTTGTTATAACCAAAATTTGTTTACATTCCAATTCTAGACATCATGTTTTTTTTTTTGACATTTATTAACGTCTTAATATTTTGTAATTATTGAATTATTATTCATTATTCGCGATGGGGTTGCCTGGAACCTTGCCCTAGGGTTATGCCCAACACAACACCCAGGAGTGTATCGAGGCAAAAGTTGGATGCCCGGGTGCTCAAAAAAACAGCCTAGTTACGACGCCCATCGTAGGAGAAACAACTCTAATCTAAGACATGGAGGTCGTTGATCAATTATGGTATTTCACTGGTACATATCTATTTTATTTTTTATTTGTTAAAATATTCAATTGCGGTTTACATGGTAGTTTTTATTTCTTAAAATATTCAATTGTGGTTTACATGGTGTACATGAATAGTTGAAAAACAAAAACACAACTCTAATCTAAGACATTGAGGTCGTTGATCATTATGGTATTTCATTGGTACACAACCAAATGGAAAAACATCGTTTTTTTTATATAGATAAACAACGGTTTTTAATATGGAAAAACATCGGTTTTTTATATGAAAAAACATCGGTTTTTTATATGGATATGCAAAGGTACAAATCTTTCTACTTCACACATTAATCTCAATTCCAATTCGGTGTAAATTGATCTATATTAGAGCGTATGCGTGATTTTTCAAGATTATAAAAATTCATATGTTAAAATATTCAATTGTGGTTTATATGGTGTAAATCTTTAATCTAAGACATTGAGGTCACTGATCATTTGTGGTTTTTCATTGGTACACAACCAAATGGAAAAACATTGTTTTTTTATATGGATATACAAAGGTTACTCCAAGCATCAATTTTAATTGCATGTCTTCATAGATTGCTTATTGATCTGTATTGAAGCGTATGCATGATTTGTGAAGATTATAAAAATTCATATGTTAAAATATTTAATTGTGGTTTACATGGTGTAGATCTTTAATGTAAGACATTGAGGTCATTGATCAATTGTGGTTTTTCATTGGTACACAACCAAATGGAAAAGCATTGTTTTTTTATATGGATATGCAAAGGTTACTCCAAGCATCAATTTTAATTGCATGTCTACATAGATTGCTTATTGATCTGTATTGAAGCGTATGCATGATTTGTGAAGATTATAAAAATTCATATGTTAAAATACTTATTTGTGGTTTACATGGTGTAGATCTTTAATCTAAGACATTGAGGTCATTGATCAATTGTGGTTTTTCATTGGTACACAACCAAATGGAAAAACATTGTTTTTTTATATGGATATGCAAAGGTACAAATCTTTTTACTCCAAGCATCAATTTTAATTGCATTTCTACGTAGATTGCTCTGTATGAGAGCGTATTCGTGATTTGTCAAGATTAACAAAATTATGGCGGAGTTATACTTCAGAGCAAGCCTACGCCGCTGCCTTGTCGGGCCGACATGACATATTATCTATTTCAGTTTTCATATGCTAAAATATTCAGCAAAACACACAACTCTAATATAAGACATTGAGGTCATTGATCAATTATGGTATCTCATTGGTAAACAACCAAATGGAAAAGCATCGGTTTTTTATATGGATATGTAAAAGTACAAATCTTTTTACTCTAAGCAATAACTTCAATTGCATTTCTGTGTAGATTGCTCTGTATTAGAGCACATGCCTGATTTATCAAGATTAGCAAAATTATGATAGAGTTACACTTCAGAGATTCGGTTATGTCGCTGCCATGTCGATCGGGCGGACAGGGAGACCACATCCCCTCCAGCGTAACCTGCTGCGCCACACCCTACACATCATCTCTTCCTCCCTCCCATCCCTCCAACCACCACCTCGCCATTTTCAAAACCCCTTCTTCTTCGTATTCTTCTTCGTATTCTTCTTACCTGGTTAACCGCCTTGTCAGCCCCCCCCCCCGCTGATTTTCTTACCTGGTTAACCACCTATAAGAACTCAACCCCTCGCCCCCCCCCCATCCTCCTCGTCCATTGTCCCTTCAACTTTGTATAAGATCATCCGGTGAACAATCCGAGATAAACGGATTCTCAAACTACTCTGCTCTAACTAAGTTTTTTTTCGTATGCTACACGGAGAGATTGAAGAGGCGACCATAGGTGCCGCCAGCCGGCGGCCCTTCGGCCTAAGTCGCCTACTGTCAAATTATTTGGGTTTGTGCAGCATTTCCACGATAACTCCATAGTTGAAAAACAAAAACACAGCTCTCATTCGCACTTTCCAACATTGCAAATGGCAGCCTGCACCAGCGTTCAAAATTTGAATGGAGAGATTGAAGAGGCGACCATAGGCGCCGCCAGCCGGCGGCTCTTCGGCCTAAGTCGCCTACTGTCAAATTATTTGGGTTCGTGCAACATTTCCACGATAACTCCATAGTTGAAAAACAAAAACACAGCTCCCATTCGCACTTTCCAACATTGCATAAATGGCAACCTGCACCATTGTTCAAAATTTGAATGCTTGAAAAACAAAAACACAGCTCCCATCCGGGTTTCAAAAGACTCTTCTATGTAAGATATGCTATTCGCACTTTCCAACATTGCGCAAATGGCAGCCTGCACCAGCTATGTTGCACGCCCGGCCGCGGCCGGGGGGTCCGAGTAGGCCGCGGCCTAGGCCGATGACCGAATCGGCCCGGTTCGGCCTAGGCCGACCTGCCGAGTTCGGTACATTATTTTTTTTTTCCATTTTTTACGTGTAAAACATATATATATATATGGGCGTGTAGGGCTGGAAAAGCCCTACATGCCCATTTTTTTTTTTGGGGGTGTCCGACCTTCGGCGCGGCGCAGAAAAAATAACAACAGAAGAAAAAAAAAAAGCCCGGTGGGCCATTTTGGCCCTGTTTCGGTGCCACCGAGTGAGGGGCACCATGTGGCCAGTGGGCAGTGTGGGAAGGGCGGTGGGTCCACGCCCAGGCCACGGTAAAACTGTTGCCGTTTCAGATAAATGCTGCCATTTATCTGAAACGGCAACAGTTGTTGCTGTTGCCGTTATGCTGTCGAAATGCCTGCTCGCCACTGAGAGAGAAAGAGCTCTTTCTTCCTGCGCACCCTGCAGCGGCGCGCGCCGCTCGAGCACGCAGGACAGCAGCCCCGCGCTGCCCAACGGCCGCCGCACGGCCGTCGCCATCGCCACACGCGTCGTTTTCCAGCGCGCAGCCATTTTAGTGCCCGGCCGCGGCCGGGCAAGGCCGAACACGGCCGAACGTGGTCGGGCGAGGCCGAACACGGCTGATCGAGGCCGATCACGGCCGAGGGCAGCCAGGCAGGGCTGCCCACCTCCAAGGCGCGCTGCTGGGCGGCCAGCCGGGGTGCTAGTGGACCGTGGGCTTGCGCGACATCGAGGGGACGTGGCGGCAGGAGCGGCGGGGACGTCAGGGTGCAGCGACATCGAGGGGACGCTACATCGACGGTGTGGCACGGTCATACGACATCCAACATCGAGGCCACGACTTGTTGGATCCTGGTGGGGGGGCGATGACGGGGGGTCCAGGGAGCAGCGGTGCGGGGGGGTCTCGGGGTGCGAAGTTCAACCCGCTGTCCGAGAACGAGATGGCGAAGTTGAGGCGAGGGAACATTGTTTGGAACTTCGTCACCGCGGGGCAGTACGTCGGGGACCAGTCCAAGATGCATGGGGGCCGAAAGTTGCATTGCAACTTATGCGGCCACCTGTTTCAGGGGGGGTCGTCGAAGGCCGCGCGTCATTTCACGCAGTCGAAGTTCTGCAAGGCTGGGGGGATGAAAGTTCTTGCGGAACTCTGGAACGGCACGAACTACACATTTGTGCCGTCCACTGCTCAGCGGGTGCAGAGATGGATGGCAGACGAGGTTATACGGGACACGAAAGCGCCCGCGGGTGGCCAGAGACAGCGGATGGATGACGCAGAGAGGGACGACATTCATGACGCCCTCGATGAGGAGGAGGGCCGCGAGGGTGGGGCCAGGGAGGGGGCGGTTGCAGACGAGCCAGACGAGGCAGTCGAAGAGCCTAACCTGCCAGGGAAGGAGGTGGTGATGACGTCGAGAGGCGTCGGTCGAGCGGGTCTTGCTACTAGGGCGCCGCGACCTGAGGTGGAGCGCGCGAGGAGGGAGAAGAGGGCAGTGGAGCAGGCTGGCGTCGAGGTGCCAGACACGGGCAGGGAGAAGAGGGCTCGGCAGACCACGATTGACGAGATGTACGCCAGGGAGAAGTTGGCCCGAGTTCACAGACGCGTGGCTTCAGTGGATCTACGTGAAGAAGTTGCCATTCAACGCCTTTCGTGGTCCGGAGTTCCAGAGGGTGCGGCAGGCAGCAGAGAGAGTGCCTCGCTCTATCCAGTTCCGGTTTCCCTCCTACAGGGTTACAGCGGGCGCCGRTATCCCTTCGCAGAGGGCGAAGGTSGCSACKATGGTGAGCGAGGTGCRCGCCACTTTCCGGCACAGCGGTGCCACTATCCTTTCCGACGGGAGGAAGTCGCGCAGCGGCAAGCCGCTCGTGAACTTCCTCGCTGGGGGCGCCAATGGCGCCCTGATGTACACCACCGTCGCACGTGACGGGTCGGTCCGAGACACAGCGGACGTCGTGTACCGTAGGTGGCGGGCCATCATCTTGTCCTCTCCTGCAAAGGACGTGATCGGCTTCTGCACAGACTCCGCCAGTAACTATACGGCGGTAGCGCGCAGGTTCGCCACAGACCCCGAGCCTGACATCAGGAGGATCACTTGGCTCCCCTCCTCCACCCATGTTTGCAACTTGATGTTGTCAGATATCGGGACGTGAGTGGTGTGGGTGAAGGAGACCATCATCCGCGCTCGAGCGCTTGTGCGATTTATTAAATCGCACGGCGCTGCTCACACCCTGTTTAGGAAGGTGAGCCCTCACGTTCAGCTCGTCGAGCCCGTTGAGACACGGTTTGCATCGGTTTTCCTGATGTTGACATGTCTCAAAGGCCGACGAGACGCGTTGGAGAGCATGTTGCACGGGGATGTTTGGGCACGCATCCCGTGGGATCGCGCCCACGTATCTCAGGCGCAGTGGGTGCAGCAGCAGATTCGGGACGGGGAGTTTTGGCAGCGTGTCCAGTACGCCATCCTAGTCATGTCGCCCGTCCACCAGCTGTTGCGCAGGATGGATAGAGGTGGGATGATGATGTCCGTCGTTTACGAGTGGAGTCAGCATCTGCTGCAGTTGATGAGGAGGGTCGACGTGCCGAGGGACATGATCGAGCCGTGCGTGCGTGAGGTTGCCATTCGCAACCTCCACATGCTAGAGCCCGCACATGCCGTGGCCCACCTCCTCAACCCTCGTCGACGGTCCCTCACGTATTACCATTCGCTGGAGACGACCGCTGACGACCGCCGTGTGCTCGAGGAGTGCGACAGATTTCTCCTGGCGCAGATCGGCGGCGATCCGGTCGACTTATTGTACAGGAGCGTTATGGACCAGACAAAGGCGTTCCACTCGAGGCGAGGGGATTGGGGAGATCGTGACCTCTCCGATGCTGAGGCGACCGATTGCAGGGGGGACAGCGAGACCGAGCGATGTGCAGCGTGGTGGTTTGAGCATGGACGTGCCCACCCGGAGTTGCGCACCATCGCCATCCGTGTCATGCACTTGTGGACGTCTGCCTCTCCAGCGGAGACGAACTGGGCGGAGCACGAGCACGTCAGCACGGCGAGGCGCTGCAAGCTTGGGTTCGCCAAGCTTGCACAACTGGTTGAGATTGCCACCAATCTCAAACTGGCCTCGTGCGCACGACAGGGTGGTGGCTACGTGTTGCCATGGGTTATGGGGACCGGTCGGGGGGGGGACGGCGGCAGAGGAGGAGGATGAGGAGGGAGATGTGGAGCCCGAGGTGTGGGGAGCGCGACCTGATGGCAGTGTTCTCAAGCAGGAGATCCAACGGCAGATTGTCGCTTTCCATGACAGCCGACCGTCCAGAGCCCGTTCGGTTCGGGACGTGTTCGGCAGCAGACGGAGCTGCAATCGTGGCCGGAGGGTGGGGATGATGTGGACGCTGCGGCGGCATACGACGACGTTGACGACGACTAGACTGACGATGATGACACGCCGTTGAGTCGCGACCCGACGGCTGAGCGAGTGTACTTCACTTACGGTGGGGTTCGTGACGGCATGGATTCATTCACATCAGTTATCACTGGTGATGTGTCGTCGACCACGCAGGCGAGTGGCAGCAGCAGAGCCAGCGGTGGTCCTGGAGGACGTTCGCATGCGGAGGTTCGCGTGGACGACTCGAGGGAGCAACAGCCATGGGGAGGTCTTCGGCAGACAGGCAGCGTTGGGAGGTAAGAAGCGACAGCGAGGCCGAGGGGGAGGCCGAGGATGAGGAGGTACCCCTTCGTGATCGTCGCTTCTCTCCCTCCCATCATCCGATCTTTGCACAGCCCGAGGCACTTAGGCATATGGAGAGGTTGGCGTCGGCAGCAGGCAGAGACTGGACACATGACGGCGAGGATCGTGAGGGGGAGATGACTCCTTCCGACGCCGGTATCCTCCTCGCTCGCCGTCGGTGCTCCGCACACAGGACTTCGACGTCGTAGGGCTTGGCGGGAGCTTAGGAGATTTCAGTGTCGAGGGACGTCGACGTGCCTCACCGCAGGAGGTGCGCACAGACGCGGACGTTGAGCGGGGACCTGTTGAGACTGAGGAGGAGAGGGATGCCCGTTTGGACCGAGAGGAGGAGGAGCGACTGAGGAGTTTGCCACAGTGGGAGGGTTGGTTCGCGTATCTCGACGAGCAGCGTCGGCAAAGGGACTTGGAGACAGGAGGGGGGGGGGAGCCGTGACGTCGACGACTCGGGTGTCCCTGAAGAGGAGGTTCAGGGGGAGTTCGATTACGAGGGGCAGGATGCCGCCGCGGGTGGTGGGTTAGGTGGTGGACGACGCGGCGACGAGGAGACCGCGGGTGTCCCAAAGGGGCAGGATGTTGTCATGGGCGGTGGGTCCCCTAGTGCGGGCCGTGGCGACAGCGAGACCGCGGGTGATGAGGGACAGGGTGCCGCAGTGTGTGGCAGAGGAGAGGGTGGACCCGGTGGAGATGGGGATACCGCGGGTGTCAGTGGAGACGATGGACCGGACGGCGACGATGACGACGACCACCGTCCCGAGGACGATCCGTATAGGCTCGCCATGGTGTTGACGGACCCCACAGTGCCTCCCTCGCGTCCTGAGGACACAGCGCACACTTTCTTCGACGTCGACGCTTTGGCGCAAGCGTTGACGGATGACCGTTTCGCACACGTGAGCCGCAAGAGCGGCAAGCAGCGGGCCCCTGGGAGGGTATATTCACCGCCGCCGTTCACAGTGCAGAGCCCTCACTGGTCGGGTTCGTCGCTCAGCGGCCTGAGAGGGAGGGACTCCAGTGCGGGTGAGGTGGGGTCCGGCAGACGCAGCGACGACAGTAGAGATAGTGCAGGATCGATGCCTCCACCGCCCGCACGGACTCCGGAGGCCAGGGTCGACACTGGGGACGGGATGGCGGCACTCGGAGTTGCGCACAATGGCGGTTCCCCGCCGACAGTCTGAGGTGGTGTGGGTGGCGGGTGGTCAGCTATTCGTCGGGTCGGGGACCGGTTGCGAGCGGATTACGACGTCGGGAGGGGCATCTTCACGCGACGTACGATGCTTCAGACGCAGGCTGCGGAGGGTGGGTCCGGACGTCCGAGCCTGCAGATGGCAGGCCGCATGCTTGGTTTGTCTCGAGCGGAGACGAGGAGATCATTGGTCCTCGAGGCCGCAGGGACATCCACGGACAGGCTGCAGGGAGAGCAGTTCACATCGGGCGAGGAGGGGTTGTTGATGCGTCACGGGACGAGACGACAGCATGGCCTCTCGGAGGTTAAGGCTCGACTTGCTGCAGGGGTCGCCGCTGGGCAGGCAGCATTGGACGCGATTCAGAGGGAGAGAGAGAGGGGGATTGCTGCACAGGCGGAGGAGGACGAGGACGCAGACACTGAGTCCGAGCCGATTGAGACTGAGGCCCGCAGACACAGGGCACAGGTGGCCGCGGCGGCCGCTGCAGCACATGCAGCATACTTCAGCGGGGCACGGGGAACAGGTGCCGAAGGGAGAGGAGGGCACCGGGGAGGTCCGCATGGCTGCCCGCCCTCCGGGAGAGGCCGCGCGCGCTCTGCTGGGAGATGACGACGTCCGTGGTGTATTTTTCTTTTTCATTAGTTTTTTTATTGTTTTTCGTGTGGCTGTACAGCCTGGATGCTCTGTCGGCAGGGTTGTTGCATATTTATGTCGATGTTGTTCCATGGATACGACGACAGTATGTGGACATTAGGGTTTTCTTTTTTTTTTTGCTACTCGGTTGTACAGTAGAGAAGACGCCTGTCGACAGGTCTTGTTTTCTTTTGCTACTCTGTTGTGTAGCAGAAACGATGGGTCCAGTTTTTTTTTGCTACTCGGTTGTGCAGTAGAGACTACGGGTCCAGTTCTTGGCTTCAGCCTTGTACATACGCATTTCCATTGAAATGCTGTGTTATATATTTGCTCTTGTTCTTGTTCCTCCGCCAACATTGGTCCTGCATCTGAGTCGCTGTTGTTTGGTGATTGTTTTCTGCTCTGTTGTCGTGATTGTTGCAAATTATGTGCTTCTCCGATGCCACGCACCTGCATGTCATGGATGCCTCCATTATGAATGTGCTGTTAATTGCAGATGCGGCATAGGGATGATGTGCTAATGAATGTGTTCTTACATAAATGATGTGCTAATGAATGCTCATCAGTCTCATGAGTGAACACACACTATGACACACTTGCCTGTTATCATTGTTTGAAACTTGTGGTTCGCCGCACTGTGATTGATTTTCAATGTGTTTTGACATTGGTATGCCAAACATAGCTTCGACCTGGCCTGGCCGCACGGGCCGCCCCAACCAGGCCCTCATCCAACCCACGTTGGGCCGCCCCCGCAGGGGTCAAATATTTTTTTTTATATTTTTCCACTGTTCCAGACCCTCCTCCCTGCGACCCCGCAT